TAGAAAATTATTTAAAATAGAATATTTTTCACAGTTTTCACACGAGGAAAAAAAATAGTTGGAATGACAAAACGTTTAGATAATGAATGGCTTGAATAATGAAGTCTCTCTATCGCATAAGAAAATAATTTCTATTCATTGCATTTTAATATAAAATAAAAAGATTTCACGATCGATTTTTCCTGTTTCTTTTTGTGAAAACCTTTGTTTGTGGTAAATTGGAACGCTTTTCGCTACGTTATCATGGAAAATTTCTACTTGCTTACTTTCTGTTCTCCCAGTGACGTCGTACTTACGCACATACATACATATATATATATATGCATCTGTGTACGTGCTGATTACGAGATATTCAGTAATTTGCGAATTTCGTTACGCTGGGGATTTTAGCCTTTTAGCGTTTCTCTCTTCCAAGGTCGTTTCGAGATACAACGTTCATATTAAAAAAAAAAAAAAAAACCTTCATATTAGTCAAAGAGTAAATAATTCTTGTTAAAAAACGTCTATTGAAAATTAATTTAATGATTTCGATGAATTACCATTATTCCTGATAATTTAATTTTTCCTTATCGTTCGTGTGTACATTCACTCTTACTTGTAGTTCCTAATAATTATCAATTAATATTGATGATTAGAAAATTATGATATTTTATTTATGGTAACATTTAGTTTCATCCATTATTTCAAACAATTAACGCCTTATCCTATAATTATATTAAACTAACGCTAATAATTTATAAATTTTGTTCTTTCTTATATAATAACGGAATAGTTTAAAAAACATCGGTAGTCTTTCGAATGAAATACTCACGCTTTATCAATACTATAATCTTTCTTATGTTTAATATTCCTTCAAACATTATTGCATCATAGTTTTTTTTTTTTTTTTTTAACGAAGAACCTCGATCAACGTTGATAATGTCATTGCTTGATCATACATTTTTTTTTTTTTTTTTTTTAACGAAGAACCTCGATCAACGTTGATAATGTCATTGCTTGATCATACATCATATTATATCCACAAATACATATATATATATATAGGTTTGACGCGTTGCAGGGTGTTATTGAGATGTACTTTTCAGAATGAAAAAAATCTTGTATAAATCCTTGGTTCGTAATTGATTTCAATTTATTTGGGATTAATGATGCAAAAATTAAAAAAAAGAAGTTTACGAATAGTATATATAAAATAACGCGAAATTGTAATATAGTTTTATAAAATCAAAATCGAATAATACTGTACTCTATTTTTACATTTGTTGATATAATTGAATTGATTATTTGAAGTCTCGTGTAAAATTTTTCCTCTAACAATGGGAGGTTCACAAGTTTAAATAGTCTGACCAATGTAAAAGAATAAATCGATTTAAGGATCAATATAACGATGTCACATAGACTGTTTTTTTGATCGAATTAATATGACATCATTCAAATCAAAAGTAACTCCCTTAATTTGCTTGACTAAACTTCGGCGATATTTAACCCTCTCCTTTCCCTTTCTATAGCGTCGTACTTCACTTGATAAAACGAATTCGTCTCAATTAAATGATTCAGCCAATCTCGCCATCGTTCACGGCTTGTTTCGATTGAACGAAAATATTCAGCAGTTTCGCGTATCTTCGTATATATGTTATTCATAAAAACAAGAAAACTGTTATCAAATGATGAACAAGATTTTTCTATTAACTTGAAATTATTTTTCTATTTAGTTATGTTTAAATTCGTACGAATGATATCACAAAAATTAATAATTTACGAAAAATTGAAAATAAAGATTGAAAATGTTGGTAATACGTGTTCAGTTAGATTACTTATTTATGGGAATGAAAATAATGTTGAATATTTCGCATAATACTATCTCCTTTCTAGTATAATTTAGAGAATCAATTTGTTCCCATGATCTGTGGGGATAAGACCGATCGATATCTCGGAACTGTTCGATGCACGATAAATTACATTCTCATAATATAATAATAATAATAATAGTAGCCGGGTCCCAAGATACTTAAAAGAATCCAAGCTTAAGCGGGAATTTTATGTTCTAATCGTTTCTCGATCGCGTGCCGTGACGACGTCGTTTCCGTTTCTTTATTTTAACCCTCATTAAATGACGTTCATGCTCGCGTCCTTGAGTTCTCCTTCGCGTGGTTTCTCTACGTTAACGTATAAAACGATATGAACTAATTTTCCTCGTTTATTTCTTTTTTACTTATTAGCAAAGATATTCTTCCATTTTTTATTATTTCGTATTTCATTATCTCATTCTCGTTCTTCGTTCATTCGATGGCCCTAGTCAACGTTGTAACGATAGGATTAAAGTCCATGCGCTTAATCACGTTCGCGTTTCCGGTGCGGCATTTGAATATCTCTCGTGACGTGTCGAATTTTAAGTGTTATTACTCCTAACACGTCCCAAGACCGGTTGCAATAGTCTAACAAACGTACCAATTGATAGTTAAGTTCTATATATATAGAACGTTTGTTAAACGTTTTAAAACAATTTCGAATTTACGAAAATAACTTTCTCATTGAGTTCAAACATTTGCATATATTTATTACGTATCAAATTTAATCCTCTATAACGTTATACAACTTTCAGTCGCGCATTTAAATATATACATAAATATATTTTGGAAATTTTATTTCTTTCACATCAAAATTTTGTTTGTTCATTTATATATGTAAAATATTTTACAATATTTTTCTCTCTTTAACTCTTACAAAATTAGTTTTATAAATATGTTAGTATTATATTATAATAAATATCGGATATATTGGAAATAAAATATTTACAACTTTTTAGATTGATAACACGAAATTGCCGAGAAAATAATTATTCAAACAAGAGAGTCATATGTGTGATATTTCAAGATAGAAATATAATATTTATTATTTTTTTTTTTTGAGCGAATGTTTCATTGTCACTTCAAGGTCAATTTTTTTTTTGTTATTTTAATAGGAAACTATACGTTTTATTCGGATGGAATATATCACGTAAAAAATACAAGTAAATTTTATCTGAAATACTTTTTCTATTCCGCGCGCGCGCGAATCCGAAATAAGAAATATAAAGAAATTTATTCTCAAACTTATTTTTAAATGTATGTAGAAGTATATCCTGTCTCTATTTATACTAGTGATTTAAATATGATAAATTTTAAGTTTTAACGAACGAATGTAATATATGTATATATAAATATATGTACATATTATTATAGGTAGCAGTTTTATGAAAACAAAAATATGAAATCATCAATTTCTTTCTCTTTCCATCATTGAAGAGTTTCATTTCTTCTTTCTCTCTTTCTTTTCTCTTCTATTTTCTCTTCGTTATAACGATACGTATCAAGTCGATTGACCTCCGGCTTCTCCTCTTAGATAAATTAACTAGAAAAAGAGTTTTGTGCCGCTTGCTTTCAATTGCTCTCTCTACCCCTTCGTGTTTAGACTTTTATTCACTACTTGGTTGGTTGGTTGGTTGGTTGCTTGTTTGCTTGCTTGCTTGGCTGGATGGATGGATGAGAACGACTATTTCCTTCGTTGACGTGTTCTTATTGTTATTATTGTTACTATCTACAAGACTCGTTATCTTGCTTGTATTCCCTAACTCGACTATGTATTCATAAAAACACATACTAGCAAGTATGTAAATAAGTAACTTCCTAAGCTAACTAACTACGAGTTTTGTTTCTCACTTTCAACAATTTCTTTTTTTTATTTTTATTTCTTTCATGAAATGCGAATAAGGCATCTCTATTACGTTCAGACACCCACCCCCGCCTTCTCTTTAAAAGACAGACAGAGAGAGAAAGTTTAAATGGTGTTATTCATTAACCTTTTGGTGTTCAACTTCCTTCTCATTTATTTATTCAAATGAATACTTTAGAACAGGGGTGGCCAACTTTATTCTATATTCGATCAACTTTTTGTCTTAGAAATGTTTCACGATCTACCTAATCTAAAGTCTTGCCATTTAATACATTCAAACATGTATCTTGTATACTAATAGGTGACAATTAATAAATATAAATAAACACAACATGATACATGGTTACATACAAAAAATCAGATTGAATTTTTTTGTTTCTTACAATATGATTAATGGGAAATTTGCGTTTACATGTCTTCAACCAGTCATTCAGACAAAAATAATGATAGGAAATTAGTAAGTAAGGAACGTTGTTTAGTCTTCGTGAAGTTTGAATATGAAATAGTCGGTTAACATAAATATGCAATTTCAAAACAAGAGGAAATATATTAGCAACATTTGGTGATATTGGAATATATCACCAAATATATATATATATATATATATATATAATTATAGTATATATTGGAATGTATATACTATAACATATATTATATGCTATTTGTGCCAATATTCTCGCCTTTTGCTATAACTGGCGACGAGAAATCCTCGTGTATGAATGTATCCTACCGATGGTAGTAATGATGATAATAATAATAACAATGATATCGTGATTTGTAAGAACCCTCTATGTTGAATCGCGAATAAAACGACGACTTATTTCTCTATTAGTTTAGTTAGATATTATTTTAAGTGCATATTCTTTTGTTGTATATCTTCGTTACATATATGTAGTTTCTACGTATTATATTATCACCGTCGTTTATCAATATGAACGGAAAGGTGTTGTCACCTACATGTCTTCAACCAGACTGATCGATCACATTTGAGTTATTCATAAAACTAAATAATTGACTTCACTTATATCAAGAATTTGTACAAATTATATTAACTTTTTATGTTTAGAATAATTTTTCTTAATAATTTCTAATAAAATCTTTATTAGATCTGTTTAGTTGAAAAAAAAATAGATGATTAGCAAGAATGTACAAGCAGCTGACTTGTCTGGTATAATTGCAATACGGTAAAAGAGAGAAAATTCATGCGGATGTGGTCATTGGAAGTTGAAATGGAAGGCTGACCTGTCTCTCCGTTTAAAGTCATCACTTATGGCAACTCTCTTTAGCAGGTAACGACACCAAACGACCAAGGCCGTGCAATTCTTCGGACGCGGATGTATCGTGCGGCGAGAATCAAAGATGCATGGAAGAAAAGAAGAATGAACGAATAGAAGGGGTGTGCCAATGCTTACAAGGTTACGAGTTCGCAGAGGATGATGAGTGCAGGCCTAGTGTATCGCAAATTCCAGTCAATTCGCCAACTGTTAAACCAGATCAGACAGAAGAATCAGGAGGTATGATCTTTTACAATTTTATTACTTTTTTTTTATCAGATATAAAATAAGAAGATAAACAGTACTTGAAAAGTCTCCATTAAAATGTTCCATTTTTGTTACGTTTCGTTGTAGTTAATTTAGCATGAAAAAGTAGTCTAATAGTTATATTATTTAATTATTATATATATAAATATAAATATATATTTTTTGTTTTTTATATAGTCACAATGTGTATTAATAACGAGTATAAATCAATGTGTGCATCGGATTTGTTTAACACAGAATGAACAATTCTTTTTTTTCACACTTTCAGAACGTTCTTTTATCACGTTAACTACTATAGTCTAGCTGGAAAGTTACAGCTCATGCTTTTCTTGCAACAGTTTTACACAATATGTCTTATATATATTGTATATATACAGTCTATATATGCAATCTACTAAATAAGTGAACAAAGGATTGTACATAAATGTCATATTTATGTGTCACTAGTCTATAGATAAAATGTTCGTTTTATTGTTAGATTATACGTCATATATATGTGATACATTAAATTAAAAGGGCCAATCAACGGTGTCATGCCTATTAGTTGTTTCTAGGTCAAAGATATTAACTCCATTTTTAGAATTTCTACAAATTTTACTATCAAAGTATTGGATTAACATTTTACTTTGTGTTGTTTTTGGTAAAATATATGACTCTTTAAAGATGGATCATTTGATCCGTTGTAATAGAAATAGGTATATATATGAAGCTTAGTACATTTAGTGTTAAACATATTAATAAGATTATCAAATATTTATAAATTATATCTTATATAAGTTAATATTATATTTTTGTTGCAGGTAGTTCAGTAGCTGGCCTCTTGATACCAACCTTTCTCATAATAATCGCTGTCGTATTATATTTCGGTGCAAGACGGTACAGATGGGTCCAACGATTTCGACAATACGGACAAAATTACGGCAACGTCCTAGTCACAAGAGATGACGATGACGATGATGATCCTCCGATAGCGTAAGAAGAGACGAAAAATGCTTAGAAGATAAGAAAAAGAAGAATAAGAAAAGAATATATGTATAAAAAGAAGAGAAAAAAAGAAGAACGATCGATCAAGACTCACCTGCTCGCATAATGAAATATAGATTTATCTATGGATCGACGATCAGAATATTCAAGTATTTCAGCATTGAATTTTCCGATCGTCTCAACAAAGTAAATATCGTTTCTTTGTACGTACGTCTTGTATGTTGCTCTCGTAAACGAATTTTTCTTCGTATATTTTATTATACATAATGAGAAGAAGGAGATTTTCGATCGAGTAACAACGATTGAACATAGTAGGTGAAACAAATCGAGAAGCCAAATGTAAAGAAGTACTTGAGCGAGTAACGATTTTCGATACTTTTGTCAACGTTAGTGGTACGTGCCTTTTCTCATGGCTAGTACACTGTTAATTGCATTTTTTTCTTTAATTCTTTGACTAGTGAATACTCGTTTCTCATTCAAGTGCAGCTATATCTATATTTATAAAAAGTATATATAAATACACAAATACATACATACACACATTACATATAGAAATACAAAAGAATATATGTGTATATTGAAATTTGAGTGGGTGCAATGCGACGAAATGCGTATTTGATATTCTCTTTAAGATACACTATTATATATTGGGTGCATGATTTTTTATATTGATATTAGTAAGTTTGTCAAAGTAAATTTTATTTCGATATAAAAATATATATGTATGCATATGTACAGTATAATTATATATATATATACTGTATATGCACTTGTATATATATATATGAAATATATAATATAAGAATATATATTATATATTTATATATATATATATATTCTTTGTATAAACTTCAGACAATTAACTAATATTATATATAATATAATACGATCGCTTCCACTATATAAACAAGATGAGAATTATAATAGAATCGTATCGAATATTGTTATCTTTCATTTTTTATATGATTGCGAATTCCTTATTTAGTAACGCGATGAATGAGAACTATTTAATGGAATTGGCTATATTTTTTGAAATAGCATACTGCGTTCAATCTTATCCAATATTGAGTTCCGAAAAATTTTGTGGAATACTTGAACTTTTTAGCAAACTATTTTTCTCCTTCGTGTATATAAATTGAGCTTATGTTTTTTACAATGCTGTAATTAACAACTTTATTTTTATAACAATCGCGTTACGTTCAATTTATTAATTGTTCTCTCATCAAAGTTTTATTCCTTGAAGAATAATTCTAAATTCGGGTGATTCACAACGATGTGTCTTAAAACGTCGTCGTTTACCAAAGAATCCGTGAATTTGAGTTTAGTATTTGGTCCCTCGTCGAACGGACGGTGTAAAATGATATTCTAAAATAAAAAATAAAAAAAGTAAACGAGAAGAGAAGAAAAAGCATGGATGGAGTTAACTTTCAAATTACAAGACATATGGGAACACCTGCATTTATACCAAAATGATATTGAATTTCATAATCGTGCTCAATGTCTTTTCTCTGTAATATAATAAGAAAAATTTGTAAATATTCTTCTTTAACAATCGCGGCCGTATACTCTTGCCAATGAATCGTGTCCTATATTTTAATCTAGAGGAAGATTATATTCTTGAGGTGCATGAGCTTCCGCTCACAGATAATAATTGTGGAGCACTTGCGACATATTACATTTATAAATATGTTATGTATAATTATATATATGTAAGTTTATATATTTCTGCGCATATATATTTATATATATATGGATCAGCCTATAGGCTGAGTAAATAATTATTACCACATAAATAAACTCGTTATTTTTGATTTTACGGAAAACAATGTTCAGAGCCAACTAAGTTATTGCAAGGGTATATCTGACAATGAAACGAATGTTTTCACGACGTTACTTTTTCACGAGATTCTATCGGTACTTTTTTAAACGGAATTTTAGGATTTTTTTTGTATGAATTGATTGTTCTTGCCTTTCTGAATGATATAAAAATATTAAAAAAGTAAACTAAACGGTTTAGGGTGGACTACATATTTACGATTTTATTCTTTTCGCAAATGCCCACGCACATGCATTGTTGCAGTTGTGAAAAATATAATCCTGAATACGTAAATATTCACATTATGTGAAGTAATTATCTTCCGACGTTGTATCATAATATTTTATTATTCAGTAAAGTATAAGGAATCATTTCGTGCAGAAGAAATTATAGTTTTGTTTTTTAATATATACCAATGATCTATAAATTTAATATAGAACCTGGAAAAATTTGTTCAATAAAGTAACTTTATCCCTAAATATTTGTTTCATAAAATAAAAAATAACCGTGAAATTTCAAACGGTAATTGTTACCACTGATTCACCTTTTATATATTTACATATATATACGTATACATACATATATACGCGTGTAACCTATTCTTGTACTCTATCATTTTTGTACAGAACTACGCACTATAAGCGAAATAGATACAAATTTTGGCTATTATGCGCAGAGTAAAAGCGGATTCGTCTGCATTACGGCAAGATTTAATATTTTTATAGTTCGCAAGTTTAAACTTTAGTGTGTACGAATGATACCTGCGAATTACTATTATTATTATTATTAATTATTATTATTAATTATTATTTTATTATTATTATTATTATTATTTTTAAGTAATCTATTTTTGCCGCAACAAATTATATTCTGTAATAAGATCAATGAATTACTTGAAGACTCTTTTGTTTATTTGTTGTGTCGTGCATCTATCACGTTGTCGTCAATGTCGCATCGCAGTGATTTGACTGAATATCGTAACTGTTAACTGTTTTTAGCAATAGCCACGTATACGCAAATTTTCATTGAAATATGTTATATACTTGTCACAGTATTATTTATCCGTATTTCGTCAAGATGATCCTACAATTGCTTAGTTTTGAGCTTCCTTTGATTCTTTTTAGGAATAAGATGTCGTATATTTTGTGTATCCGTGGTTTTTTTTTTAAGAAGTTGTCATTTTGACTCTGTGATGTAAATTATGTTATCTTTTAACGGACGTCTGTTATTGACTGATACACTAATTTTTTTCGGCACAAGCTCGATATTCACAAATTTTTTCATAATTAATGTGTGTGGCGTAATACAAATATTTTTTAATATACTTCTCCGTATTTGAATAATATTATAATTATACGTAAGTCTATATATATAAAATTCGTTTGGTTCCAAAGGTATGCGCTCACCGTTTGAACTGTAAGGTATATTTTCTGACCTACTGTTTGTTCATTGGCATTTACGGAGAGCGCTTAATAATAATTTCGTTGCGTAAATTATTTCATTTGTACTATAATAATAAACATTTTCGAACTTCTTACTAAAATAATATTCACTGTCTTGCTTGAAAAAAAAGTTGATCGTTATAAGTATAATTAAGGATGCTGTTTGAAGGTATCAAATGACGAATACTTTAAAGAAATCCTTTTTATATTTGTTTATGTCGTACGCAAGTATCGATAATATAATTTACATTATTATCATGATGTAAGATATACACTCAGGAAGTTCGTTGTGTTCGCTCTAATATCTAATATATTATAATTTTATTTGACGAATTATATGAAACGTGTAAGTAACATCTTTATAGGAGAAAACTATATTATTTATCGCTCTTATAAGAAATAATTTAATTCGAGAGGATATCGATAATCGTACGTATATTTACAAGTTTAATCGACGAGATGAAGGCTAAAGGTCTCTCCCATCGTCGATTATATTTTCTATGTTATCTTTACGTCTCTAAAAAATATAATAATAATTGAGGCCGCGTGAAAGAAATCTCAAAAGTTATCGTAGTTTAGAAAATAAACTTGTTGATAGACAACTAAATCGTATTAGATGAGGTTTTTTTATTTCATGCACATTATAGGGATCGTTTAAAAAATATAGAATTTCACTAATATAGTTAGATCGACTACTTTGTTTGATAAAATAGATATATCGTTTTAATTCTATAGGAGCGACGATTTAAAAATATGTTTTACTTGAAATGCGTTTAATATAATGATTTGATTTTCGGCAACCCTGCATAAATAAAAAAAAAATAGGAAAAGAAAAAGAGAACGAGCGCTTTTTCTGCAATAAGTATCTCACGCAGGTATAATCGAACATTTGTTTCCTTTTTTTACTTATTGCTAATCATTTAATTCTGTATTGAAAATTATTTGACGATATTTCTTTATCATATTGTGTAATTAATCGAAATGAAAGACATCAAAGAATCTGCTAAACCTTACACAATATCCATCCACATATAATTCCTCTTGTCACGAGCCAATCTCTCACGAGAACCTTCGTATGTGAACAATCAACATTGAGAACTTAAAGGAATACTTGGGAAATCTTTAAATTTGTTCTGTGACCAATTTTCTTCCCATTTTTCTTCTAATTTTTATCCCTCTTTTACGACGAGTATCTCTTTAATAACCGGTATAATCTTGCCAAGGTCCACTTTGTTGTCTGTAATGTTGTCCACTGTATGGAATTGATTCCGGTGTTCTATAATAAACAGTTCGTTGTCTGTCGTTTGGGACAGCTGGTGCTGGATCGAACTGAGGGCTCGGTACAAATGGCTTTTGTTGTTGCTGGCCGATTGGTCTGGAGATTTTGTAATTGTCTTCGGACGATTGCAAGACCGTGTCTCTACTGAGTTGTCTGTGAAGAGGCAAAACGAAACCACTCGGCAAGTTGGTTTCTTGATTTAATGTCGGTGTCAGGGCATCGTTTAGCGTGACGTCATACTCGCTATCCGGAATATCCTGAAGTTTATGCGTCACCTCATTTATCCTTTGTTTCACTCGGTAACTACTTGGTCCAGAAGGTTGCTCGTGGATGTCTTCCTCTTTGTAAGTCGAGCTATAGAGATTGGAAGTTTCGGTGACGGGTTGTCTGCTTTTGTTACGAATTGGTGATCCCGAAGACGTTGGTATTATACCATCGTTGTTTTCTTTGTTACTGATAAATTGTTCGGTAGACCACTTGTTGTTACTCGTCGGCACTCCTAGGTCAAGTGTTTTCTGAATTTTTTCATAAGATTCGGTGGAAGGTGTTTTAGGTATAGGATTTAATTCTAAAGATTTCGTTTCTTCATCTTCGCGTTGTCTTTCGACAGGTCTACGTAATATCGGTCTGGCTATAGTTATATCATATTCTTCCTGTCTTTGTTTTTGTTGAAGATCGCTTTGAATTACTTTGTAAGCGTCGTACGTTCGTTTCTCTTCTTCGCGTTTACCATCCTGATTAATTCGTTTGCTCTCTTGTTCAGGAACATAATAACCTTTGTGGTTTTCCTCATGTTGTTGTTGCAGACTCGTTCTTTCCGTACTTCTGTCGTCCTCTCTTCTTGGTGCTTTCGAACCAACCGGCGAAAGTCCTCTAGGATTAGGAACTCCACCACGTGATGGTAAAAATGGTCTCTTGACGATACGTACGGTTGTCCTTGGGGGAGGAATTGGTGGATCCTCTGGTTCGTCATAATATTCCGAAGAGTATTCCTCCGAGTAAGATGATGTATGATGTTGTTGTAGTTGAGGGTTTCGATGATCTTGTTCCTCTTCTTCTTCTTGATCTCGTTCTTGGAAGGTTGTATAATGAAGCGGCTTAATAATAGATTTCTCACCAAGATTTTCTTCTTTCTCTTCGAATGATACCCGAGCACCATTGTTATTATTGTTGGTGTTATGCGATTGAGGTGGTCTCGTTGGACGTTCTGGTCTTTCGAAACGATCAACGGGTATTTGCTTTGTTTCCGGTTTTATTTCGTGCACCACAGGCATTTCCGGCATGCACGTTGTACTCGTCGTTGAGATAGGTCTTCTAGATGTCTCCGTGGTATCTGATAAATCTTTCGATCTGAAGGACGATCGAGATTTCTCGTCTATTGTCTGTCTATTGTCTTTTTCCCGTTCTAGAGGTCGATTAGAAGAATACGGTCTCTCAATTCTGTCAGCGTCTTGATATCTTCCACGATCGCGATCCAAGGATCTCGGAGCGGAGAGATCCTTTCCACGATCAACCGATCGATCTCTATTACGTTCCAAACTACGATCCCTTTCTCGTTCCCTATCGTAGTAACGGTCTCTCGAGCGATCGGGATGCTTCCTGGGTCGTATATCGTCTTCATCCTCGCGATATCGAATTCTGTAATTAATAATTACGTATTTATTTATTTACTATAAAGATTAATTAAAATCCCATGATGATATGACGAATTAACGATTTATTCTTAAATCAATATGGTGTTTTATTGATTCGAGAGATAGCCGTAAATAGTTCAGCTTTGTTGTTACTAATTGTAAGTACGTCATTAGTCTTCAAACGAGTAATGCGGATTAACGAGTTAACGTCGATGAGTAGAACTGTATCTGTCTTGTGTACGTTACCTTACCTGAAGGGTCGATCTCGTTCCCTGTCCCTGACATCGTAGAAATCACGATCTCTATCTCTTTCCCTATAACTCGGTCTACGTCTGATTGGTCGTCTCATTGGTCTGACATCTTCTAATTCGTCGTCGTAATAATCATCTTCAAAATCAACCGGTCGTCTTCGTGGTTCTTCTGAAATATAATACAAATTATTTCAATAGATTTGAAAATAATTTCAACAAAAGAGAGAGAGAGAGAGAGATTTTACCCCGAGTTGTTTTGTAGTACTTGCTTGACTACCGCCCAACATATCGATTGAAACAAATTACAAAAAGATCAAATACAACTTTTTGCAATAACAAAAAAAAAAAATAAAGAACCATATAGAAGAACAAACAACGGATAAAGAAAAACTTTTTCTGTTCAACACGCTCGTTAATCTTAAGAAAATCTATCTAAACTGGTGTAGAAACAAATATAAATCGATCAAGTGGAACGGGAAGAACCGGCTTACCAGTAGATTGCGCAGACGTGGACTTATATGCATAGCGGTCTTGTTCGGATAATGGTACCGGTCTTCGAATTTTAGGAGGAGCCCTTGGTCTGGAATAGACCGAAGTGATTGGAGCAGCTGGTTTGACGAGTCCTTCGGTAACACTGACCGATCCTTGACCTGGCAGAGCACCGGAGTCTTTATCATCGTAATCATCCCTAAACCTAAAACACATTAGATAAGACAATTTTCTTAGATATTTGTACTTACTCAAATCTTAAACTAACCTTTTATCGGAATACCTTCTATCGTCGTTATCTCTAGCCCTCGAATCGATTCTTCGATCATCCAATTCTGGGTCCTCAATTTCTCGCGATCTAGATTGTTCTTGTTCTCTAGTTTTCAAGCCTCTGGTCTCCTCTTTTGGTGGATCTCTTTGCCTTGTTTGATCTCTCCTGTTATTTCTAGTTGGATATCTATCCCTAGGAGGAACGTCTCGATCTCTTTCGTCTCTGATAGTTGTATCCCTGGATCTAGTAGTATCCCTATCACGAAAATCACGATCTCGATCCCTGACATCTCTATCTCTATCTCTTCTATATTTCCTATCTTCGTATTCGTAATCATCGCGTCTATCGTATCCACGTGGTCGCGTGTATTCGTCATCGTAATAATCCTCATCGTAATACTCATAAGGTCTCCTTCTTGAATATGGTCTTCTTCGTCTTAAATCTCGTTCGCGAGAAGAAACTCGCCCATTCGACAAGGAAGCCACTGTGACAGGTGCAACAGTCGTTGTAGTCGTAGTTGATGTCGAGGTCGTTGAGCTGGTTGTCGCCTTGTAAAGGGCATCGTTCCTATGCCAGTACTTTTTTGAGTTGGCGCAATCTACCTCAGACACGAAATGGCAAATGAAGGTTTTCTGATCGAATGCCGTGAAATTTGCACATAGGAAGTCGTAACGAGTGCCGAATAGACAGTGATGATAAACCTGTTGAACAGAAATTTATTTCTTTTGTTTTCTTTTGTTTTATTCTTTATAGTCCCGTCTGACTTTGAAGTTACATATTGATATTATATCGATGTTGTTTTGATCTAACAATAAGTAATTATAATTTCTTGTCTTAACGCATTATCGGCGGATAACATCATGAGCTTGACTATCACGTATAGCGGGCGAAAATTAGTGAAGTATGAAAAAAGTGCACTTTTTAGGACTAAACATTGGTCAGGCTTTACGAAAAACAATAAAAAACATCATTCCTGACCTAAAATTAGTGACAATGAAAAAAAAACAAACATTCGTAAGTGTTTTACTAACACTTAGCGTATGTTCTGCATAAAAGGTTTTAATACCCGACCCGTCGATAGAGTGTGTTAATAATATAGCACAAAAATCTTGTTCTATAATCTTTCTTTGATAACTTCGATAACATTTATCTGATATGATTTTTTCTAGCAATTATCAACTGTAATTTGAGACATATCGGAGTAAATTTAATATATTTAAAAATTGTCGATTGATATATATATTTCTTGATTTCACTTAACATAAATTTTTTGTATGGTCATAAGAAAAAAAATGATAAAATATCTTTTAGATTTGAGGAAACTGCGAAACGAACGGTCGACTTTTGAAACGCTTTCTTTCGCTCTACTTCCACGAGATTACTTATTCGCATGCTGTTACTCAGAATCTCTTAACCGCTGTATGTAGTAAGTCGAAACCATTGCTCAAGTGTAACCGTTTCTTTTATTAATTTTTTGTTTTGTTTTCATTTTTTGTCGTAAAATGAAGATCGTCCGTCCACGGATGCGCAACATAATCTATAATATAATACGAGGTAACTCGAGAAGGTTACTTCTTAAGGATGGCCACCGGTACGATATTTATCTTACAATTACAATTCGATGCTTTCAAATCCTTCCTTTGGCCGAGTAGTTTTTTCATTGGGATCATAGAGTTATTATTCGTAATAGGGTAGCACTTGGTAGGACTTGTTTTATCGCTAATTGCGAAATAATATATCCATCGATGAGTGAAAGTGACGGAAACGCGGAGCTGGACTGGCGTTAAAACTTTCGAGAATTTTTGAGTGCGTTTCTCCTTCGATTTGGAAAGTGATACGTCACTACCGACATATATATATATAAACGTGTACAAAAAATATTTAAAAAATGTAATTATTTATTTGAATTTATATTTTTTCTTTTATTTCTAGCGCTGATTATGTTAGGCCGACAGTTGACAGTTTTAACACACTTTTTAGCGAACCCCAGCTAGGTCGCCAACGTTGCCACTGTGTAGCTTTCACACTGTGTATTATAGTATAATGTGTGTATGTGAAAGATCGTTTCGTTTCGTTTCGTTTGTGTGAAGCTTCTATCTTATGTGTGCACGCTATTGCAAGCAGATGGAACTTGTCTCTCTGCGTATGAGCAGGATGCACGATGATTGTCTATCGCGCATACAACTCTAACGTGAATTATCTGACGGAATCATCTGGAATCATTCAGAGCACGTCCATATTATTCTATCTCTTTCTTTTTCTTTCATTTATTTTCATTCTGACATTTTCTCGCTTTTACTATCATTAACTGAATTTTTTCTATTTCTATAATATGAAGAATGCTATTGTTCTTAATGTTCATTTTAATATAACGGACGAACCTGTTTAATGCTAATTATATAAATCGATATAAACGTAAATATATATGTTTGTACGTATATAGACGTATATACATATTTACAGTTTTATTTGTTTGGTCAGAATTGTGTAAAATGCAATGAGTGTATGAATGCACTCATTGTATGATTATTTTGTTCAGAATAAATAATAATTTTGAATAGAAGCAAAAGAGGTTGTGTCAGAGTTGCTTCAGGGTTATATATTCGTATTTTATTATAATTATTGATCATACTATATTAATTATTTATTTAAAATACTGATCACAAAAATGTGTTTAAAAAATATTGATCGAATTATTAGCAGCCATATATTTATTTTACTTTCAATTAACATTACTCGAATTCAGTATTTACGATTAAAGATAAAAATGATTTATCATTTAAATAGTATTAATATTTGAAAACTATTCGATATATTATGCTGTGCATTTGCTTTTTAAATTTCTATTGAAATTTAAAGGGAAAGCGAACAAGAAATTTGTTTGTTTTTGTTCTTGTTTTCTTTTTTTTTTTTTTTTCCTTTACGCTGACCGACTCGTAGTAGCGAACGTAACAAATTTTCTTGCCGATATTTGCATAACAATGGCATATCCGCTCCTGACTTACGAGCAAGTCGATCGATAAGTTCAGACGGAAGGAAGCTACTTTGCAATAGCTTTCACAATCTTAAGATTCGCTTAGCACGAAACGGTCAGGGATAAAAGACTTAGCGGACCACGAAAATATCTCCTTTCTGATTTACGTTCTTATTCGTCGTTATCCCTTCTCCCTTTTTACAAAACGAACCCAGCTGGAAATCCTTTCACAGGAAGATTAACGATTAATTGCTATGGTCTCAATGATCGTCGAGGAAAAATATTTTTTTTACATTTCGAATATTATCTTCGTTGTTTCCTGTTTATAATAAATACCGAGCTTTTTTTTCTTTGTATTTGTACGTACAAGTCTATAATTAGTGAGTAATTAAACATTTAAATATATTAAGTTAGATTTTATATTATGCAATTCTATTTGGAATTTTGTCCGAACAATTTTATTACTTTTTAAAACACGTTTCGTATTGAGCTTGTTTTTTCAACTGGTGTTATTATCAGACCACGCTTATCAATAACGGTAGACGGTATAGAGTTTTTGTGTAAATATGTCCAAATAATATATTATTTACTTTTATTTTTTGACCTAGCTATTTATTTATTCGTAAAAAACAATTTTTGAAATTATAAGATGCACATATTATAATTATATTGATGCCAATTGTGTAGCTTATAATTACTATTTTGTAATTTATTTATTACTGATAAAAATTTACTTACGGGGAAGAAATAAAGTTCAAATATCTATCGAAAATGATATATACAAACACGGTACGTGTTAATTGAAATAATGTTATTAGATGAAAACATTAATCAAAATGTCCTTGAAATTTAATTGTATCTACCTACACACATATATATATATATGCATAATATAAAATCCTCTCTTCTATTTGCCTCATTAAATCACACTACAAGGTTGATATCGTAAGAATATCTTCTTTAAAAACATCCTCGGATAGATCGTAGTAGTTATTACGTCTGGATTTGCAGGATGTGCGCTTTTACTTGAACTTTACCATTCGAATGTTCAGAGTATAATACTTTGGAGTTCGATTATTATTCTTACCTGACACTTATGAGGTACGCTCGCATAAAAACCATCGTGTAGGCCGTCGCACTTGAAGTCAATGTCCTCTGGAATACTGTTGTAGAATGGATAATCACTGAGATTGTAGCCGTTCAATTCACGAGGCAAATTTGGATCCCAAATATAATCAATTTGAGGGATTCCTGTTAACGTGTGCCCGGTTGTTGCGTTACCTTCCGATGAATTTGAGGTTGTCTAAGAAAAAAACAAAATGATTTTTAAATAATTTTCTGTATCATTATAGAATATTACAATTGATTAAATATTCAGTTTGATGAGTCTATTTTCGAACGAATCTCAATCGCGAACATTCTCAAACAATTTTCCCGATTACTCGAAACACACTTCTACGGTATCCAGGGTATGTAAATACTTGAGTACATAGATAGAAAGACACTCAATGATGAGCATTCGTAATTGTAAGGATGACCTCACATTCTCGGTTAACGTGCGAAGGTGAACCTGTAGTATCTTTCACGAGAACTTTTATTTTAGAACGTGTCTAGACATTGATGCTATAATTTGATCATTTGTCTATATTAATTAACGACTATAAACAGGTTAGATTGTAAGTACTAAAGTTTAGGAAATGGAAGTTATGGAAATGTGATCGTGTTTGACCTTTTCATTTCGAAATCTTATTCTATCGATGATGCTGATGATTATGATGATAATTACGATAATCATGATGATAATAATAATAATAATAGCAATCACGATGTGTTCCATCGTATCATCAAGCAATCTGCTCTAAATGATAGTTTTAACGTCATGTATGATATTAGATACACATCTATAAATATAAAGATCACTAGGATTCGTGACTATAGAATGGATCGAGATAGTGTCGTAAGTATATATATGTATATATATCGAAGATAAACGATTGTCTTACCACTATAATGCGGCTCGTAGTAAGACTGGAACATGATATAATGCTACTACCATACTTGTTCGTCCCTGTGCTCACCTTTCATTTTGTATCTAGTTTACTAGTATCCTCATAGTATTATATACAGTATTACACTATCTTTTGGACACAGTAAAATAAATAGAAATCTATTGACAAGGTTATTTTTTACCTTTTCAATATCGCCTACACGTTAAATTGGATTTCTTGTTGACAGATGTAATTAGGATACTATAAGTTATATTCTGTTGGAATACTTACAATGCAACAGGATGTTTATTTTAAACATGATATTTTGAACAAAATAGAATAATACAAGGTGCATTATATTTCCAAAAGTTTCTTTACACTGAACTGCAACAATTAGAAATTTTTTTTTTTTTTGGTAGATATTTAGATATTTAGAATGATGTCATGTTTTTTCTATACTGTTTTAATAACATAATATGGTGATTAATATTTTTAAATAAACAATCTAATATATCGTGATTTTATAATATTAACATTGTTTTATAATGTATATTATAATTTATATATAGTGTTTTATTATGTAATATTAACATTTTTTTTTGTTTTTATAAAGTGACTTTTGGAATACGCTATATATGAAATAAATAAAATAAAATATGTTTATACAAAATTTTATATTTTCAATCGATAAATCTAATAAGAAGACGTTTAAAAATATCAAATTAAGATTGAATATCTTGGTAATGTAAACTTACCGCATCTTCGTTCTCGTTTTCCTCGATCGGTGATTCCTCGGTAGTGGTTGTCGTCGTCGAAGTCGTTGCGATTTTAAATTTCGGTCTCGTAGCCTTCATCCCATCCGTGACCGCATTGATCAATAAGATTCCTAGAAATTATAATGAAACATTTCATTGATTCATGACGCCAATCAAAAAAGACATTTATATTATTCGCGCTCTTTTCCAATTGCCTGTCAATTTTGTCGTAGGAGTGAATAATTATCTTTTTATCTTTATCCTCTGAGGACTAGCAATGGCGTTCGTATGGAAAAAGTACCACGGTGTGTGTGTGTGTGTGTGTGTGTGTTAGATCATTCGTAATGACCTCGATGAGCCCTGTTTGCTTCGGGATAACCAGTAAAAAAAAAAAAAGAAGAAAAGGAAAAAAAAAAAGAAGCAGCAGCAGCAGCACTTCAAAGGCCACTACGCATCCTCCGATTGCGAAAATCGTGGAGAAGCGTCGGCATTGCAAAACACGGACGAACACGACGTGCGGATAGAAAAAGAGAAAGAGAGAGAGAAAGAGAAAAGCGCAGTGAGAACTCTTCTAACATAAATGTTGCAATTTTCAGTCTAGGAGCGAGCGTATTCGGTTGGGTAATTGTTTTCAAACGGATCAAGGATATCAATCGATCGTTTCCTTTTGGTCTACATCGATAATCGTTAAACCATATTAGTTATTTATCCATCAACGTTATATTATTTTTCATCTGAATTTTTGTCGCGAAAAAATATCATTGTTCGAACATAGTGTAAGTGAAAATTTTCTTTCGATTTATGTAATTAATCCATTTGTTTTATTATATCAATTAAATGTATTTTGTATGGTATACGGTTTGAATATGAAATATTATTTTTGTATAATCAACTCTTTTTACAATTTGTATTTACATTAATTATGTAATATTCTACAATAACACCGAGTTGTGTTGTTAGATGTAGAAATGAATTTGGTGGCATAAATAAATGTTAATTTGTTTTAAATAAGCATGGGGTAGGATAAATTATTACTGACAATGAGAGTGTGACAGAGAAACTTAGAACTAGGGATTAATATTTATAATTAGAGAATCAGAATAAAAGGTAATACAAAGTTAAATGTATTAAACGTGTAATAATAAGATACAAAAGAATTTCAAACTATAACTCTAGTTGTTATCATTAACGCGAACAAATTCACGTATATATTTTTATTTTTACGTTGTTTGATCGGAATGACTTTTTAAATCAGTTTTATGACTTTCGATGAACATCTTGCCAAAGATCAGAAATGATATTAAAGGAAACAATAGTGATTTGAGATATCTAAGGTTCTCAAGGTAGCTTTTAATCTTTAGTTCGCGTACGTGTTAACGATACCATTACGAATAAAAGAGAAAGAAAGGAAAAAAAGAGAAAGAGAAAGAGAGAGGCTGTCCTCGATGTTGAAAATACACGAAGTCGAAGCCAATCGATGGTTGGTGTGCAGCACCTTATAACGGGACTATACTTTTCCAAACAGGGATCGATAACAAACGGTAACATACTGCACGTCGCATAAAAATAAATTATGGGAACGTGGACGCATTCCGATTGTGGGAAATGTGAACGTGGGCGTGATTGTGTTATTGCTTTATACATATATATATGTAAGTTGGAATAATAACCAACGAATGTTACCAACAAGAATAGAAAATCTATTTTTCGTGACGCGAAAGAGAAAGAATCTATCGGCAAGTGCCGCGTAAACAAATTGCCTCATCTGATTATCTTATGGTAACCAAAAGAAACCACCAGTCGATTTTTGTCATTTAATGGGAATGACCTGACATTTTCATAGCGTGGGCGTGTTCACGAAGATTTATCTTTCTTGATATAACGTGCGACGAGTCCTCTCCCCTTCGATAATATAAAATAAAATCAACAATAAAGAAATATACACAGGGTGAGTTCCAATAAGGCGTGTTACCAAAAGTTTCCTTTTGAAACAAAAAAATAATAATAATAAAATGTTGATTTAATTTTGGCAACTATTAAATGGTAGAAGGAGGCAGTACATGTTTTTTTTTAGAGATTACTTTTAAGAAAGGTTAAAAAAGGGATCTTCTATATATTTTTGAATGGAAAGTGCAACGTTTGTGCGAAATAAAACGAAAGCTTTTATTTTCGTAGGGAAAAGATGGCCTACAAACAATAATGGTCTCTTTTTTTAGCCCAATGCTAAGCAACGTGTTACTTTAAACTCGACTCCGCTAGCATAGACAAATATGGGAATCCTCGTGAAATGCTTTAATCCTTGCGTGGAATAGCGTGAAGAAAATTCTTATGTTCATCGCAATATACCACTCATTATTTCCGGCAACTGTAATGTTTTAATTCAGTGGTTCGCAAATTGTTTCTATTCTCGACGCCCTTGCTAAATCCAAATTTTTTCAAAGTGCTTTATGTCAAAATCTAACAAGTTTGTTTTGAAAAATTATTAAAAGTTCTTTTTTTTTTTTTTATTAAGGAATTGGCTAAAAATAAATAAAACAGAAGATTTTGTAAACAGTTAATACTAAATAAGTTAATGGTTTATCATCAAATTCATTAGATTTTGTATCTTATCATATTGAATCAAATATAGAAATAAAATTATGTAATATTTTGAGACGCCCATTTTGGGAACCACTGCTTTAATCCAAACACTTTTGTTTTCATACTTGGAGGTGATATTAATGAACGAAAGTATTTTACTTCTATGGCCATATTAATTACGACATTTAGATAGATTATCAGAATATACAATGATTTTATTTAGACGGCTGTGAAATCGACAAACCTCGATTCCGTTTGGTGTTACTTTCGATCAAGATTTTATTAATTAGCTTGCATGCGTTAGGTATATATGTAATACTTCAACATGTATATATGGGTCTGCAAACTGAATGTTTACTGACCGGTTAAAATACCAGATAGAATTTTAAATGTTAAAGTCGGTGTCACGTGATCGATTTCAAACGGTCCAGTGAATGTGAGAAACAAACTGCAAGTAAGTTGCCGAATGAACTAAAACTGAATTTCACATTGTCTCTATATTTTTATTTATTCTTCTTTTTTTTTTTTTTATTACATTTCTGTCTCATTGAAGAATTATTTTTAATGGCGTTATTTATTAACATTTATTGAACATTGGTGGAATTTATAAAATTTCATACGTTACTTCCTACTTTCCTCTATCGATCTTAAGGATTTACGTAAACAAGCGTCATAACTGTGAAGAAGATACTTCAAGTTATATGTATACATACATGTTATATACCTGAATGTATATAGATATATATAGATTGACGTGTAGATACGTGCCTTTCTCGAGGGGAACGATGACAAAGAAAGCAAAACACATTGACATTCGTAACAGGTTTACCTTCCTCCACTCAAACACCCCTTTACCAACTTGCAATCTCTTTCGTATGCTAAAATCGAATGATTCGATTCGGTCGATCGGTTTATTCGTATTGAAAAATAAAAAACTACTCGTTTTAAGATTTTTTTTCGGTAAATACTTAATAAAAAAAGAGATAAATTAACATATAATATATATATATATATATATATATATATACTCATGTAACACGCGTTTGTGTATGAAGGATAAACAACTTTAGTTTAAACTAGCTTTTATTCCCTTCGGATTGAAAAATGCCCAGTTGGAAGGTCATCCACTGTTTTCGCATTCCTCACCAAATACGGCGAGTCCAAAAATACTGTGAGACTGGGAGAAAGGACTCTCTTATGTTAGAGTTAAAGGAATGTATAAATACGAGTTAAGGAAAAAATAAAAGAAGTAAAAGAAGCATTCAATGGTGATGTAGAACTTTGTAGAGGATATATTTTTGTAGATTTTTACTCACCGAACAAAGCGAGCAGAAGCCATCTTTTCTCCCGCATGTTGTCGCTACTGTAACAATAGAAGAAGAAAAACACGTTTTTATTTATTTTATTATTAATACATCTATTATAATATAAGCCACATATATTTCAAATCGATCAACTCTACTAAAACAAAAAGTAGAAAAAATTGATAAAATAATATACATTGTTATATTATTTATATTAAGTACTTTGATATTAAATTCATTGCATCAAAATCGTCATATCTTTTTGTCGACAATTAAAAGTGCAACAAATTAATCTCCATAACTAATGTTATTGAACGGCCACATAAATAATTATTAATTGGTGATATTAAGATTAATTATTTGACTAAAGTTATTTTCAATATAAAAATGTATCTATCAAGTGCTTTGATAATAAAATAAAACAAAATGTTACATATAGAGTTAATCGTTTTAGTTTGTAAAAAGCTGATATACGATAACGTTTCTTTTTGTCATATATATTTTATATTATTATAAATATTGAATTTATATATACCTATGTATATATTAAACTATTTTTGTAAGATATAAAATACTGCCAAAAACCGGAAATGTGTTTTATGAAAATAGAGAAAAAGACGCCCACGAGTGATACATTGTATGTGTAAATTATGAATTAGTATAGATGGTATGATAACATAATGGAAGCGCACTCTCGACGTCGAACGTGTGTACCATAGAAGCAAACGTTCGAGCATATGGCTAAAGATAGGAACTTTCTCTGTGCTGTCACCACTGCTAACTATATAATGCAAGAATAATGTAGGTGTTATATAAATGCATGATCACGTAATATCGGGTGTGACTTTATCGTCACCGATGCCCCTTTATGCACAATTATTATTCGTTCTTATAAAAATTACAATTTACAATTATTATTTTCGAGTAATTTGATCGTACGTGAAAAATTAATTTTTTCTTCTACGTATAAATTATGATTTAGTGTAATCAGATGGTCAATGTATAATTGCTAAATTAACTAAACGTCATTTCGACATTCATATTTATTCGTTATATTGTAATTTGAATATAATTTTTTTATTGGCTCTTCGAGTATGTCATTATTATATTATATCTATTATGTATAATAGTATATATATTGTACAGAATATTCTCTATGAGTACTTTTATCGAATTAAAAAATTATAAATCTTTTTTTTTGAAAGGTATTCGGAGTGGTTAATATTGATTTTTCGTTTGGTTTTTTTGCTCTCGGTAACGTGACACACATTTTGGGATACTATTAATAATAGGATATATATTTTTATTGTATGTGTATATATATCTTTTATTTTATTTTTTATTTTGAATTTATTAAGAAACTTTATGTAAATATGTAAATTTATGAGATATGTGATGTTGAGAAAAAATAAGCTATGAAATAGAATTGAATGAATGTCATCGCACCTACGATAAGCGCGTAGACAAGTAAGTGTCTTGACATTTGTACGTTAATTAACGCACGATAGTCTTCCTTTCGAATCGTACAAGAATTACAGCATGAAAGTTAATACCGATGAAAACCGAAAGGTCTTGGATTTAGCTATATTGTAGTCAGTTCTTCTTAAGTAGAAACAATATTATTTTTCCACACTATGTCCTTAAAAGTCTTATTTTCTTCTACGTGAATATACATTAAAAATGAAACTATATAATTGGTCGTGTTAGATATATTATTAGAGTTTCTTTCAAAGAATAAACGTTTGAAGAAGTTTTCGAAAGATATTACGTACAACCTTGAAGTTTCAAACTTCTCGATGACGATATTTTCGACTTGGATCCTTTTATCATTGGATATACCTGGTGAAAGTAACCTTGTAACATGCTTCTTTCGTATTGGTTCAGTCCCGGTTACCATTTCGGTTTGTAACGGCTACTTTTAGACTAAAAATCGACTATCATACAAGCGTGTATATAATATATGCCTAATAGAGGTATGCCGGTCTTCGCTTGGAACGGTAATAAAATGAATTGAGCAATTTAAGAAAAAGTTTTAATGTATTTCCGTAAATTAACTAAAGAAGGAAAAAGTTTGATGGGTTTGCAATATTAAAGTTTCCTAAATTTTATTATCACAGAACTACTATGAAAAATATTATTTTTATTATTGTATTATATAGATATTGTGGACATTAAATGACTATATTATAAATATATAAGATTGAAGTAAATCTTACTTATTGTTAGATAAAAATGAATATAATTATACGTTTAACGTTAATCATTATTTCAATTTTGAGAATTTTGGATACGGAAGAAGAAGAATCGTTGCTCAGTGGACTTGAAGACTTCCTTGAGATCTTGCTAAGTTTCTTTCATGTAACTTCCGTAGGGAGGTAATCCAAAGCAAGAGGATTTCCCAGGTAGCTTGAGAACTCGAGTACTTACCTACGTTGTGACACGAGACAAACGATTACGAAAACTTGTGTAACGGAATGACATGGTCCTTCGTTTCTAACCAACGAGAAAATTGTTGATGATCTCCGTTTCTCCCTTACTTTCACACATACATATAAACGATAACGATCTCTTGGAACGAACTGGAGCACGGCGATAGCGATTTTAATTGATGCGAAATATGCTAGTCGGTCTAGCATCGTTTTATGGTGCGTTCTACATTTTTGAAAGGAAACCGAGACGAAAATAAAAATATTACTAACAACTAAATCATTATCTTCTTGAACTTCCTCGAAATTATCTTTGTAAATATTTACTTATATAATTATATTATCTACATTGTATGTTGTCTCAAATGTTTCTTACCTACATATGCATAATATTTTATTGAAATGAATTACATACGATTTTATATACAGAAAGAAAAAGTCAATATAACAGAATGGATCATATATAACTGAAAAAAATAATATGAAATATAAAATATTATGCATATAAGATTTACTAATCCAAAAAAAAAAGTAAGAACCTTTTGGGACAACCTGTGTTTTGTGCACGTTATTTTAAAATATAATATAAAATGATTTGTCATATATACACAACAGCAACGTGTATAATATTATCGAACCATAGTCGTTAATTTTCTGACCATTGATCCACTCCGTGATAAGAAACATTCAGTGAGTTTATATTACCCAGGTTTTCATTAAATTAAAAAATAAATGTTATTCAAGCAGAGAGTTTTAACATTTAGATCTGACGGTTAAAGGTAACGATTAACCTTTTTATTCAACATGCTAAATTTAAAATTAATGGTTATTTATTATTCGACGAGCAACGACGAAGAATATAAATTGAAAATGTTAAGCCTTATGCACGATTATTTCTTTCTTGGTAAAGTAAATTGAAGACCTTTCTTGTTTTCGATCGAAAGATATCACTTCTTTTTTAAGGGAATCTGTCCACGATAAATAGATTTTTTTCTTCTTTATCAACTTCAATATACACATAACGTGATATTCATAACGTTACCTTACGGTAAATTACGTTACGTTACGACATACGAATAACGGTCATCCACGACCACTAAAGGTTACCGGAAATGATACCTGAAACTATTACAACTGTTAACTTATATTATGCTCGATTAACTTTATATTAAATAACTACGTCGATCTTCTCAACAAAGTTACGAATACAATTAAAACGTTCAATGTTGTGAAAGTTATCTCGATGAGTATCATTTAATTGTAGTTAATATTTTACAAAACTTTGATGAAATTTCATTTAGAAGATAATAAGAGTAAGTTTAATATCAAAATTATGGTAATAAATTTTCTTTTCTTTTTTTATCTATATATATATAAGTTATTAGATAAATATATTAATTTAAAATTTATTCGACAATAAATTGTTAATTATATATTAAAAATTCATTGTCATTCTCGTAGTATTCCTTTTTTTTGCATAGTTGACACAAGAACAATTTTTTGTAACAAACTTTCATTTTTGTTCGTATATGTGTATAATTTTGTGTATTGATTGAGAAGTCCTCAGACAGATTTTCGCGTATCATGTTTATGAGGACAGTAAATTCGATATTTCCTTTTCTTCTTTTTCGATCGAGTATGCGCCAAGGCGTGGTTACAAAACTTGATAGCCTTCAAAAGCAAAGCATGCCGCCGTGGCAGGCTTTCATTTCCTCGTGCTTACCAATACGAATGCTGGAGCGAATGATCGTCCAGAGTAATGTATTATCCAGTAAATTACTGGTTGAAGAAAAATTTACCTTGTGTTATTGCTCGCTGGCTAATGTGATGATTCGAAGAATCAAAATAGAAAGAGAAAGATAAAATAAAGAAATAATAGAAAACAAAAATGACACCGAACAAGATGACACTAGATAATATTACGAAAGATATATTATGGCCTTTCACCTTTTCTCATAAGATTATCGTTAATTTTTCTTTTTTTTTAGGTAAACCACCGTTCGATTAGAATGTCATCAAAATTGTCCTTTTTCGTTTGCTTGAAATATAACGTGTCTTGCTTTTATCGTGTTATTACCTTTCTTGAACAAACGAATTCGTTGTTGATTCGAATACACGAGAATAATCTTGTACGAAGTTATCGTGATTTCTTGTCTACTTTCATTGATTTATGTATATTTGTCAGTGTAATCGGTGTAAAAAAAAAATAGATAGAATTATTAATTAAATATTTTTTTGTTTTCAATTTTAATATCAAAGAACTTATAATGGATGCTTAATTTTTCATATATTTAAAATTATATTCCTTAATAATGAGCTTAATGTCATTGAATAACAAAATTTTGTATGCTTTGTCGAATAGTAAATGTTATGAAAATATAAATAATTTTATCAATCTTCGATAACTTTTTGTTTTATTACTTATATGTTATATATAGCTTTATAACTTAATGTTATTAATTATCAAAATATTATTCATTTAAGTATCGTTAAAAAAGAGGATATAAAAAATTGTATTTAATATAAATGAGAAGATAAAACAAGAGCGATTATCTTAATAATCGAGATTATCTATGAATTAAAAGGAGACGCGTGTAGTAAAGCATAAAATGAAAATTTGATTCGTCTTTAAA